TAGACCAGGCTGGCCTCGAACTCAGAAATCCGCCTGTCTCTGCCTCCCAAGTGCTGGGATTAAAGGCGTGTGCCACCACCGCCCGGCGACATCTGTATTCTAAATAAATAAAATATCCAATAAAAAAGAAATTGTGCTAATGTAATTTGATGTTAGCATTTAGAAGAATGTAAACAGATCTATATTTATAACACTGCACAAAACTCAAGTCCAAGTGGAATAAAGATCTCAACAGAAAACCAAATCCACTGAACCTGATGGAAGAGCAGGCACAAAGATTGATACTTGATAAGTGGGACCTCACAAAACTGAAAAGCTTCTGCACAGCAAAAGACACTGTCAATAGGACAAAACAACTGCCTACAGAACAGGGAAAGATCTTTGCCAACCCCACATCTAGAAAGGAGACATCAACAATTCAAATAATCTAATTAAAAATGGAGTACAGCATTAAACAGAGAATTCTCAAATGGCTAAGAAGAACTTAAAGAAATGTTCAACATCCTTGGTCATCAGAGAAAAGCAAATCAAAACAACTCTGAGATTCCATCTTAAACATGCCAGAATGGCTAAGATAAAAAAACAAAAAACAAAACCAAAGTAAATCCTCAAGTGATAGCGTATGCTGGTGAGGCTGGGGAGCAAAGAGAACACCTCTCCATTGCTGGTAGGAGAACAAACTTGTACAGCCAGATTGGAAACCAACATGGCAGTTCCTTACAAAATTGGGAACAGATCTACCACAAGATCCAGCTATACCACTTCTGAGCATATACCTGAAGGACACTTCATCATACCACAGTGATACTTACTCAACTATGTTCATAGCAACTGTGTTCATAATAGTCAGAAACCACTTAGATATCCCTCCACTGAAAAATGTATGAAGGGAATGTGGTACATTTACACAATGGAGAATTACTCAACCGTTAAAAAAATAATATTGTGAGATTTGCAGGCAAATGGATGAAACTAGAAAAAAAATCATCCCGAGTGAGGTAACACAGACCCAGAAGGACAAACATGGAGTATACTCACTTAAAAGTGGACATTAGCTGTAAAGCATGACCACACTATAATCCATAGACCCAGGGATGCTAAGTAACAAGGAGGGCTCAAGAAGGGATGGGCACATGAATCTTTCTGGGAAAGGGAAGTAGACTGCAGGTGGAGGAGGTGGGGGACAGGGACAGGAAGGATTATGGTGAAGAAGGGTGGAGGGAGAGAGTACTGGGAGAGACAACTGGAATTAGGGAGCATCTTAGGGATGAGCTAGAAACCTAGTGCAATGGAAACTCCCAGGAATCTAAGAGGGTGACCCTAGCTAAGACTCTCAGCAATGAAGGCTATGGAGTCTGAACTGGCCAGCTCCTGTAACCAGGTGATACTTCCAATGGAGGGGCTGGGACACCAACCCTGCTACAAAGCCTTTGATCTACAATTTGTCCTGCCTGCAAGATGTATGATTGCAGATTGAATTGGGAGCCTTTACGCAAACATGGCTTCCAAATCTCTTATTTGAATATGACCCAAACTTTCAGGAAAACTGTAAGAAAATACAAGTAAAATTAATTCTATAATTTTCCAGATTAATTTCGTGTGTGTGTGTGTGTTTGTTTGTGTGTGTTATATTCACATGAATGTACTAGTTGGTGCATCTGTCCCCATGTGCAAATGTGCAGGCCAGAGCAGGACATCTGCCTCGAGACACTGCCTCTTCCTGGATTGTAAGCTTGCCATTTATGCTAGCTTTTAGGCTGGTTAGTGAACAGTTGACATATGCCTGTTCCTCAGCCACCACCACCAAAAAAACCTGGAGTCAGCTGCAGACATGCAGACATGCCTAGTTTCTTACTTTGATGGGTTTAAACTTAGGTCTGAATAAATTCTGAGCAATCGCTCTTAATCCCTGAGACATTTCCCCAGCCCCAGATTCATTAGTTCTTTACAGCTCTGTGCCTTATCATTTGTTCTATCTGTCCACAAATGGGGACACACACGAGTACACGTGTGCACACTCACAACACAATAGTTTCTTAAACAAATGAGAGTAACTTGCATATATCACAGTTGAGTGTGTACTTCTAAGCATCAAGCTATTCTTTTCTATAGTTATCAAGCTCAGAAACTTGATGTCAATCTAATAATTCTACTCATTCCGCTACTCAAATCTAAGTGTGTCAGCTGTGATAGCTCTGGCTCTGTGGGAAACAAGGAGCAGCGTTTAGTCATTTTGCTTCTTTAGATCCTGGTTTTCTGATTCACAACCATGCCAGGAGCACCCACCTCATCTCACGCTTGTTTGGTTGCTTCCACTTATAAAACACTGGGCTCTAGCTTTACTTTGTCTTATATCACAGTCTTTAAGGAATTGTTAAATCAAGTATTTACTTGGAGTTTGATTTCTTGTGATTTCATTTAGGATTTTGCATTCCTAACTAGAATATGAAATACACACATAGGCACATGTATTTACAGGCATCTCAGCAGAAAGTGGTAGTCTATGAAACTCCAGGGGCCATAGAAATGACCCTTTTTGACCAAATGGTTCCTCTCCATTTCAGGTCCAATGTGCTTTGTCTCCTTTTTCTGAACAGCTGGACACATTTTGCTTTTCTGAAAGATCTCAGCCCTTTCAAGATGCAGTTCAGATGCTCCATCCTCAGAGAAATCTCAAGCATGGTGTAACAAATTTCTCCTTATAATAGGCTTCTTGTAAATGCCCCTTAAATGCACCTGCAGTACTATGCTAGACTAGTTTACATAACTGTGTCTTCATTTCTAGATTAGAGGCTTATGCACTCAGAAGCTGTCTGGGTTGTATCTATTTTGTTAATAGCAGTGTTTGATATGTATTTAGATAGAGTTTTATGTAGATTATATATCATGCAGGGCTGGATCAATTTCTATAAAACCCTCTATTGCTTCTTGATAACACAGTACAGATTTGTTTATATTTTATCTATTTTTAAATTTATTTATCTATTCATCTATTTATTTAGTTTGTGCCACATGAAGGTCATTCATATGCACATGTAGATTCTGAGGCTGGAGCTCTGGTCATCAGATTTGGAGGCTAGCTGAGTTATCTTGTTGGCTCTGGATTTGTCGATATTTTAGAGAAATTTGAAGTCAACTTGGTACAAAGTCTGTAATGCATCAGTGCAATTAAGCCACAGAGTGGTGAATTCACAGGCAAACTGCGAGTCAAACTTCTTTCATGCAACTTTTTTTCATTGTGAATCTCTTATGTACCTCTTATGCACACACTCATTTTCCTGTCTTACCGACTTGTGTACTAACAATTTAGGTGATAGAGAAGGCAGTAAGCCATCTAGCAAAGGCATGCGGTATTGCACTCCTGTATGCCAAAAAACAAACAAACAAACAAAAAAACCAAACCCTGTTAATGATTGATCTGCATTTTGGTGGGGGGTCTCCCTCTGTCTTCACTGAGGCGCAGGACTGACTGAATTGTTGAAAAAGGCTTCAGGGTTGAGGAGGCAGATCAGAACTTTTAGCTACACACTTGAACGACCCGAGCGCTGGCCGAGGTGCTGAACAGTTCCCGTTAGAGCCCGGGAACCATGCAGAGGGACTTCTGAGTTCTCAAAGGGTCTTCTCAATTTATCAGGAGTGGATTCCCAGATCTGGAGAGAAGATGGGCAGGCCATTCTCAGAAGACCTTTGCTAGTACTGAGATGCACCGAGATTCATTCCCATCGGATGAAAAATCCCCTATCTCACTAGCAACCAGGAAGCAACGCTAGCCCTTATTAATTTGTCAAATGGCTCATGCATCTCTGATGTTTGGCTTCCACCCCCAATGATCCTCACGCTGTCTAGCATTTTACAAAGAAACAACAGCAAACTAAAGCTCCGAAGGTTGGAGCTCTTGCCCGGAAAAAAAATCGCAGCGTCTAAGTAGCCGATTTCTCCAAATCAAGCTTTTAAGAAGCATAAGTTTACTGCTAACCCTCGACGTGCGCCAGCCCTGGCAGCACAGACTGCTTCTGCTCCTGCACTTGCCACATATTTTCCCCTGTGTTGGGGCTTTGCGGCGTTCCTGTCTCGCCCCTAGTTTACTTCAGACAAAGGTGGCTTTTATGCTCACTCAGCATACCCCTCAACCACACCAAGTCCGAGGGCTGGGATTTAGAACAGGGCTTTCGCACACTTGGTGAGTGAATCAGCTCTGGTCTTGATCAGTGACTTCACGCTTTTAAAAATCTGGACGAACACCCACTGGGGTGTGTTCTTAGATTGCCCTAAGCTTTTCCCAGTTGCGCACTGTCTCCTCTGATTTGAATACAAATAGAAGTCCCTCTGCCCTTCTTTCTCTACCAAGAGTCATACTAGTTTTTTTTTCTCCTGACCAATTCGACCCTCTGTGAAGGAAGAGCTTTGATCCGGCCGCTGAAGGCATGCTTCTCTAAGGTCTCCTCCCTTCTTTACTCTACCCAAATGACCTATCCTTCCCGGCCACCCTAGCGCCCAAGAGTGGAGAGAGAGGAGTCCTCACACTCGCTTCGCAGCGCCTGCCTTCCGCAGAGCCCACGCACTCGGACGCTGTGGGGAGTACGACATGCTGCTGGGTCGAGATCTCCAGTGCCAGGCAGTGCTGGTGGCGCTGCTCTGGTGATAAGGTGACAGGTAAGTGAGTGCGTGTACGGTCGAGGCTGTACTGGGAGACTGGGACTGTGTGTGGGCGGGGGAGATAGTGGGAAGCGGGAAGAAAAGAGAGATGAGAGAGGGAGGAGAGAGGAGGAAGGGAGGGAAATAGGGAGAGGCGCGCACTGGGTCACTCTCTTCCTTTCATCACTAATGTCTGCACCTCCATTCCACCTTCTCCCAGGCTTCTCACTTCTCTCTTCTCCAAGCATCCTTCCTGCCGCCTCCGGCGCCCATTCCTTCCTCCGCCGCCCCCACTCTCCCGCGCCTAAAAGGACCTCCTGGGGGTGTGCAGATTTCTACCCGGCTGCGACCCGAAGCCTAGTAACATGTGGAACGCGACGCCCAGCGAAGAGCCGGAGCCTAACATCACCCTGGACCTGGACTGGGACGCTTCCCCAGGCAACGACTCACTGTCTGAGGAACTGCTGCCGCTGTTCCCCGCGCCGCTGCTGGCGGGCGTCACCGCCACCTGCGTGGCGCTCTTCGTGGTGGGCATCTCGGGCAACCTGCTCACCATGCTGGTGGTGTCCCGCTTTCGCGAGCTGCGCACCACCACCAACCTCTACCTGTCCAGTATGGCCTTCTCCGATCTGCTCATCTTCTTGTGCATGCCGCTGGACCTCGTCCGCCTCTGGCAGTACCGGCCCTGGAACTTCGGCGACCTGCTCTGCAAACTCTTCCAGTTTGTCAGCGAGAGCTGCACCTACGCCACCGTCCTCACCATCACAGCGCTGAGCGTCGAGCGCTACTTCGCCATCTGCTTCCCTCTGCGGGCCAAGGTGGTGGTCACCAAGGGCCGCGTGAAGCTGGTCATCCTTGTCATCTGGGCCGTGGCCTTCTGCAGCGCGGGGCCCATCTTCGTGCTAGTGGGCGTGGAGCACGAGAACGGCACAGATCCCCGGGACACCAACGAGTGCCGGGCCACCGAGTTCGCTGTGCGCTCTGGGCTGCTCACAGTCATGGTGTGGGTGTCCAGCGTCTTCTTCTTCCTACCGGTATTCTGCCTTACTGTGCTCTACAGTCTCATCGGGAGGAAGCTGTGGCGGAGGCGCGGGGATGCAGCGGTGGGCGCCTCCCTCAGGGATCAGAACCACAAGCAGACAGTGAAGATGCTTGGTGAGTCCCGGCACCCTGTGGCCTTTCTCCCCACTGCTTGCCCTTCTCCAGGGCCCTCTATTTCTGTTACTCATCATCTCCGTCTCTCCAAGTCTCTCAAGTCTCTGTCTGTCTCTGCCCCTCTCACCTTGGTTCTTGGTCTCACTGCTTTTCGTTTTCTTCGTCTTTTCCTGTATCAGCTCCACGAAAAAGCCCCTCATATTGGCCATTCTTTATAATGAGCATTACTCTGGAAAACTTGGTCCAAGATACTTCACACGGTTGATTGAGGTCCCTAGTTGTTAACGGTGAGGTTCAGCTTCCTGACTCACATAGAATTTGTGGTTATCCAAGTAATATTAAGGTAAGCAGGCAGGCATTGGGTTTAGACATTGCTCCATTGTAAATCTAACCAAAAATTTGGGTCACTCTGTTAAAGACGATTTATAGATATGTTTTGTTTGTTTTCAATTTGGGGATTTATTTTCTGCCATGTATCTTTCTCAGATAATTACATCCACTCTGTTTATTCTGTGGTTCTGCAAGGTGGGGGGGGTGTCAACACTGGGGCCTTCTTTTTCTTGTTTCTGTATTTGTCTCCCCAGTAGCATAGCCCAGGGTAGAGTGGAGACACCATCCTTTTCTCAAGTCCTTCCGGAACCTCTGGGTACAGGGTCACAGCTGGGTGTACTGAACAGTTACTCCATAAACTGCTTCCCTAAAGGCATGTACTTGGCGTAGTAAAGTCATGAAGACAGTGCTCATATCCAAGAGGAACCTCTGACCTCACTTCCCAAGGCATTTCATGTTTACTGACATTTAATACTTGCTAGTTTTTGCAGGATGATCGTTCATTTGCAATTTTATTATGTTCAAAGTCTGCATATCAAAATGATAGAGATTTCCCCAGGGATGCCAGATTTTTGTTTCCAGACTAGTGATATGTACCACACAGAGGGCTAGCCACCTTGCTACTGTGGTGTGTCAGCTTCGCCTATGTAACTTAGTCCTAAGGAGAGGTTACTAATAACCTCCAGTTTTGTAAATTACTAATCTCCTCACTGGCATCTCAATGCCAATTCCATTGTCACCTTTCATGGAAATTTGAAGGGGACCATTAAAATGGCACAAAGGACCAGAACAATATTTTTCTCTCATTTCTGAATTTTAAAAACAATCTAAAAATTTTGACTTCTCAAAGAAAGTATCTTACATGAGTAAAATGAAGCCTTGGGTATGTAGTAATTACTGTTGTCTGGCTTAACTGCCGCCCCCCCCCCCACTTTATTTATATCTTTTAGAGATGTCATAGCCTTGTCTTCTCAGTAGCTACTAATTCCAATTCTATTGTAAAACTTACTTTAAGCATCTGGCTTCAATGGTCCACTAAACATAACAAAGCCCTGTCCTAAAACAGAAAGAAAATGGAAGACAGGGAAAGAAAAAGCAGGTCCTTTCCCCATTCCCTTACCTACAGAATTGAACTTATTGAGTCTATACAAGAGCCGCTGAATCTGCCTTTCTTAAGCATGCCCACAAGGGTGTCCCTGGAGCTATTGCTTAATGCTAAAGTATTTACTGGGCATGCTTGACCCTAGCATGGAGGCAGAGAAGTGCTCCTGGGAACATTGTGAAGGTGAAGACAAAACACCTTGTTTCATTCATATTTGTGTTCTGTGTAAGGCATGTAAATAGAGGATAATCATTAATGATAAACTATTTAGTTGGGTCATCATGCTAAGTCAGTCACAAAGCCAAGTAGTTATCACACAGAAAGACTGGGAAGCTCAGTGTCGGTCTGACAGTCTCACTGTGTGCTATAATGTTAGAACAGACGGAGGCAGTATTTATGTGAAGAGCAGGGTGTCATGTTTTCCTGTGTCAAAGAGCAAGACATGTTTGTCAGTGGTCATGCCACTCATGGAGAAAAGAGAGCCAGGACTTAAAATTGTGAAGTGATTTGTGCCTGCCCAGCCCTGATGGTCTCTGTCTGTGTGCCCCCAGCTGTGGTGGTGTTTGCTTTCATCCTCTGCTGGCTGCCCTTCCACGTGGGAAGATATCTCTTTTCCAAGTCCTTCGAGCCCGGCTCTCTGGAGATCGCTCAGATCAGCCAGTACTGCAACCTGGTGTCCTTCGTCCTCTTCTACCTCAGCGCTGCTATCAATCCCATTCTGTACAACATCATGTCCAAGAAGTACCGGGTGGCGGTGTTCAAACTTCTAGGATTTGAATCATTCTCCCAGAGAAAGCTTTCCACTCTGAAGGATGAGAGTTCCCGGGCCTGGACAAAGTCGAGCATCAACACATGACACCGCATGCATCGCATCTCTCTGTCATCGCTCATTGCTCCACACCAGAAGCCATAGCCACGCGGGACTTGGGAGGAGGCAGAAAGTCAGTTTGGGGGTTAGAGACAAATGGATCTGGAAACAATTGGGGTGGGGAGTAGAGCCAGATGGGCAGGGTCCGTGCAGATTGATCTGCTTGTGCGCCCACTCATGTGCAACCCCTGCACACCTGTGTCTGTGATTTTTGCATTTGGAGCTACTGGCAGCTTTGCAGCTCAGAGGAAGGAATGGCGCAGAGCAGGCAACGGCTTTCCTTCTTGGTGTGTAACACTAAACCCCATTTGCTTTCCTCATCATAATAGAAATGAAATGAGATTACAAACAACAACTTAAGACATGACCTTTCAAAGCTAGCAGACTCCACAAAGCTCCATCACATGCACCCCAAAGCACCATAGCGTAAGACATATATGTAATCAATAGGTAATGATTGATGAGAGCTATCCATTCCTTCCTCAGCATGATAATTCTGAAATCTAGTATGTTCCCTATACTTGCAGTCCACTTGCAGGTGGGTGGTTAGTTTCATTAGTAATATTTGATGCATTTCATTTAAGCAAGGAAAAGTAGATCCAATGGCTTAAGTTGAGTGAGTACACTTAAAACTTTTAAGTGACATACTTTACAAAGTTTTTGTTTTAATTCAGAGTTAATTAAAATAAGCAATTCAGTTCTTCAGTTGTATTAGGTATATTTCAGACAAATATGGCTAATGGTTCTCGTACAAGGCAGACACTCCAGAGTACATGCAAAAGGTTATTGATCTCACATAAAAGTTTAAAAATATGTACCTGTTCCTTTCAACTGTTTTTTTTAAATATTATGTTAGTATACCAGCATTTTAGAGTAATAAATCCTAAGGTCACACCTAAATGCTCTACCCTCATGATGGGACGAGAATAGAATACATCTAAAAATTAAGTTATACATTTAAAAACTACATTTAATTGCATGCATCAATTCAGGAAGTGAAATATTATAAAAACCATAGCTAATCACAGATGGCCTTTTTTGACTTAATATTTGAACTAATTGTAATCATGTATGAATAAGGTAATTATTTTTTCTGGCCAGCTTATATAACCTAAAGAGTATCAGAGAGGTTTAAATGGTAAGGCAGGCTCAGAATTTCCCCAATATTTCTGCCTCTTGCTATTCAAAACTTTAAAAAAAATGTAATAATTTATTTCAACTTGACTCTGCCATATCCAATCTCCAAGGTAGTGTTGCTTTCCACGTGCCACGGCTTAGCTGCTAGACACAGCAGAGTTCTAGTCTCCTCCCTCGTCAGAATTATGAATGTGTGCACCTTTCAATAAATATTGTGCATTTGGGTTCTAAAATTTTAATTTTCATTTATAAAGGTATTCCTCTCTATATTCAACAGGATGACCTAAATCTATGATTCCAAAGTGATTGCTTTCATTCTGTGAGCGGCTCTTACTGAAAGGACTGTTTAGGCCATTTAAGGAAGTTAATGTCATGATTGTTTTGCACCTGCTTAAAAGGAAAGATTATTATGCTAAAGTTATAGGTTGCCTATTTATATTGTAAACATCAAAAGCCAATCATAACTTGAAGTACTTTTAAAGGAATAATTTTCAAATCCATTTGGACAAAAATTCCATTTTCAAGTTTTCATTTTCAAATCCATTTGGACACTCTAAACACACAACGTTGACAATTCTGTTAATTCTTGGGAGTGTGTCGGCAAGCACATGGGCACATTCAGTTCCATGACATACGTAGTAGGCATCTGCCACCTATCCCCTCAATACTGCTCAGCAAATTAAAAGGAGGCATTTTGGTTTTCTGAAGCTTCAGAATTGTGTCTATAAATGCATTACACTTGAAAGGAAACAAGTTTTAAAAATATAATGTTTATCACTGCTTTGGTGAGAAATGAGCCCAACTTCTGATTAGTTTTTTAATCTCTTCACTGGCTCTATCTCTTGGGGTCCATACTAGAAGTCCTGAACTCATATCCTAAGAATGAATTACAGAGAAAGGGCCACCCTGCTTTCCACTGGTTAACCCGAAAAGTGGAAGGATGTGTTTAGAGAAAGGAATCTCTAATTTGCCCTCTCCAATTATTACCTTTTTAAAAATTGCTTGCAAGTTCTTTATGTTATTACATTTCTTATTTTGTTTAAGACTCAGGGCAAAAGAAAATTACGCTGAATCAAATTGTTTGGGAAAGCTAATCTCTAGTCAACATTTTGGATGTGTCTCCTACATTCTAAGCTCCAAGAACTTAACAAGCCAAAGATTTTATTTATTCTTAGCGATCTCACAATCATCTCTGTGTTCTGTGGCTGTGGATAATAGAGAAAGGTGTTTGAGTTATGGAGTCGACATCTTTAGCGGGCACTATATCAAATGTCTCCACCCCAAGACTACAATGAGCCATTCAGCCTACTGGTGTGCCATGTTCTTTCTTGGTTGCAAACATATTTGATGGGCTGTCACTACAATCTTTGTAGACAGAGCTAATATGTCTCCTAGTGAGAATCATGCTGAAGGCATTCAGGAAGGAAAGAAGCCAGCTTCTCTTTTTTCCTTATTTCCATTGCCCTGGTTACCCACAAGTCAGGTTCTGTCATAGTTTAGACAGTCTCAAAGTCAAGGTCCTGTTCCTCAATATAGTCAGTAACTGTTACATGAACAGGAACGTTTTGAATGATCACTTTAAACATGCATGCCTGCCAACTATTTTAAACTGAAAATTCGAGCTGGGTTTGGTGGTACATTCTTGTGACTCCGGCACTTGAGAAACTGAGGCAAGGGAATTACCAGGAGTTCAAAGACTGCCTGAGTTGTTTAGTAAGTTCCACTACTGCCTGGGATACAGAGTGAGACCCAATCTCAACAAGCAAGCAAGCAAGCAAACAAACAAACAATAATGTTAAAAATCTGTGGTAAGAAAATTTAGAATCACTTCTAGCTCTTCCTATGCCTAGAAAAAAGCATTTCCCAGTGAACTCTTAGCTGCAGTGCAGGCTGATGTGGTGAGCTGTTGTGATGGATAGACTTAGCAGTCTAGATTTTCCCCTTGCAAATGCTTTTGTTAACTCATTCTGTCTTTTTAAAATTTATCCATATACTTGAATTTAATATCAAAAAAGAAAAACTATGAGATTCTGTGCAAGACTGGTGCCTACACCTTTGTCTCTTAAAGAGCAGTCTGTACCTCTTTAAAACATTGCATAATATTTACATATACAGAATGCTCTTGTCACAATGTGTAAGCGAATGGAGTAATTGTGCTTTCAGAAACTCTGTATCTAGTATAAATAACAGCATCACAAGAAAGAGATGGCCTCCTGGAAGACACTCTATGTCTAACTTGATTTGTTAGCTAATGAGTCACTTGTGACTTCTTTGCAATTTGAACTGACAGTAGCTGGCTGGTCCAAGAGTAAGTTGCACAGATGATCAGTGACAAGTGGGAGTTCAGTGACTTGGGAGTGTAATCTATTTATCTGCTATTCAAGATCAACCGGAAATTACACAGTAGCAACACAGACCCCCAATAGTAAGCTCATACCACGTCTGAATTATTATTTTTTGGATACAATTATCCAAGTCTTTGTAATAATATAAATACGAAGCAGTTAGGAGGAAGATTTTGATGGGGTTGATTTTTGTGGTTTTCCTTCTTTACTCTAATGCTTTTGGGGTACTGGAAGTAGTGATATAGGCTGGCAGCATTGTTACCTTATTTCGTCAGTGTTGTGTGTTTATGTCCCTGCTATTGTTTGACCACTTACTGGAATTTCCACCAATACTTTATGCCTTTATTGTACGTACCTTTGCTCAAAAGACTGTCAGCTACTCTCAAAATTGGAAAAAAAAAAAGGAAAAGAAAATTTTCAGAAACATGACTCATGAAGACGGCCCGAAAGTTCAGCCAAAATAGTCACAAACATCTCCCAAGCACAGAGAGAAAAAGCACTGGGGGGAAACAGCTTAATAGAGTTCCTTAGTCCTAACAGTTCAAACCCCAAATCACATATATAGCTTAAACCATAAAAATGTTTATTGTCTTCGCATTTAGCCTTGAGAATCTAATGTATTAGAAAGCGTTTGTTCCAGTAGCTATTTCTAAACACCATAGCAGTATCACAGATATATGGTGTAGCTTGGCACTACTGACTGGCCTATTTATGTCACCGTAGTGTGTCAGAAACATCACCAGGGATATTTTGGATTCTTTCTTCAAAGGCGTTTGTATGTGTTAACTAAGACTTCGCTGTAGCTTTCATGTACGTGTCTAATAGAATTTATGTTTCTTTTCCTTGGATATAATAACCAAATGATTGCTTAATAAATATCTTTTAAAATCATGCAGTCTGTGTATTGACAGTTAGGAGTCTGTGAGTTACTCTCCTGCCAGTGGGTCCTTGTTTTAGCTGTTTCGTCCATTGCATGTCGGAGATTGGCAGCTTTAAGGAGCTGTCTGTCACAACAAGCTGTGTTTTCCCTAGGGATTCAGTGTTTGATGGAGAGCCTTGAACCCAGTTTGTGTCAGAGCAGTGGCACTTGTGACAGGCTGTGATTCCACACTCAACACTTCTCAGACTCTTGCAGCCTGTCCCCCAAAGCCATGTGTGTGTCTGTGTGCTGTTGATCTGTGACCCAACAACCTCAAGTCCTTCCAGGAAGAGACAGAGCCCCTGATCCTCTTTCACTCAGCAGCTCCTCACCTAGGTTGGTCAGATGGGAATTTAAAGGCCAGATGTATGTGTGCCATCCAGATGCTGGATTTCAGACATCTGGATCCCAGGGGCCAGAAAACTGAGAGCCCAAATTAGAGAACTCGTTATTATCATCAATTTACATTTGCTAATTAAAAGGCATTAGAGTGGTCACTACCCAGATAGGGACCATCTTTAGTTTGAATCTCTCTCTCTCTCTCTCTCTCTCTCTCTCTCTCATCTCAAGGTTCTCACCTTGACTTCCTGCCCCAACTCCCTCCAATGATGAACAGTGATAATAGAAGCATAAGCCAAATAAGCCCTTCCCTCTTCAAGTTTCTTTGGTCATGGAGTTTCATTGCAGCAATAGAAACCCTAACTAAGACACTGAGGGATGATTCGGAGGGTGAGATCCTTTCTGTGACAGCAAGAAGAAAAATCACCAGCATCCATGCAAAAGCCAGTCATGGCCATATGTATGTGTAACCCCAAATTTAGGGGCAAAGACAAGCAGATCCTGG